CACGATGTGTAAGTTCTTCCCTTTACTACTTCCCGCAACTCGTTTAATTAAGATGGGCTACTAAGCCATGCTACGCTCAATGCGTAAGCAACTGTAACTACAACAGCGTCAACTTTTGTGCCAACAACAGATACAAGTGAGTTCAGAATCATATAGACCAGAACCAACCGTGTGCTTCAGATGCTGTATGACCGCCAATGGATTCAACAATACCCACAAATGCTGGCCTCAATGGAACGCTGCTTCCTAAAGATTTTTTTAATAAAACTCATAACCACTCTATTTTTTCGGAAAATTAAAAAACAAAGTACACTTTTTCCCTCTCAACCGGTTTTTCGCAAAAGAGCACGCCTAACAAGAATCTCGGATATGGGTCCAAGAGGCTTATGAACGGTTTCAGGGTCTTGTAGCAATGCATTAAGTTTTAATAATCAAATTCAAAACGAACTTTCAATTCGAACATACCAAGGAGCATCTGGTTCCAACAAGTTTTAGGGAAGCTACAGCATTTTCCGGAAAGAGAACGGCCGGGTCATTTTGTTTTCAGTTAGCAGTGTGAACCCGTAAACTCTACTCGTCGAAGTCAAAAAAAAACTTTAAAAGTGAAATTACTAAACTGATCTAGTTTAGAAACTAACAGGAATGCTCACTCTCAGGTGAATGGAAACTAAGGTAGTCATCAGAGAAGTTTCTCTCATCACTCAGAGTGTCAAGCATGTAGTAACCGCAGTATCAGACGTCGTTTTCGCTCTGCTCATTTGATTCGCAAAACTAGATCGTAGAACTACTTACCCCTAACTCTCATCAACTTGAGTCGTTTTATACATATATCTTGAGTACTACTACCTAAACTAGGATTTGGTTGACAATAAAAACAAGGAGCACTTGTTGGTTGTCGCCTTCACTCAACTGTGAAATGACTATTTGGATGTTTTGTTAGAAAAATCTATTTATTGACCTGTAAGCTCTTGTGGCTGATATTAAAAATAAATAAGCACCTGAAACTGCGTTATTATACAATTAAGATGAGAAGCAATATAAATGTTTGTATCAGCGTGAGAAAAGTGAGAACATGCAACAATGAAATACGAACGTAAACAGTTATTATGAATGAAAGAGATTGTAAGTCATAACCAAACAAGGAGAGTTTTTGAAATCGCAAATATGATCGTAGAACTAACGCAAAGGTTCACCTTTGCAGGAGGATATTTATCTTTGACGATTGCTTCTGATGCAGGAACTTTATACTCAGCGAACCTGACATTGTCGTTGTTGGAGTCAGCGTAGACGCTGTCATCTACGTCTTTTTCGTCTTCATCTCTCTCCGAATCACCATCTGAACTATCATAAGCAATCGGATCGTTGTATCCTGAATATAACAGATTCGATAAGATGTGAGAAGCATATGTAACCTGCTCCTTCAGCCTGTTCAACAAAGCCACCATGGGGATCAGGGGACAGATTATATACTGTTTTAGAAGGATACTCTCTTGGTAGCTCTTCGTCTACTTCAGCTTTGGATAAGATGGGTCTTCGATGTACCTTCATGAATTCGAGATGAAGACGGAAGGATAAAAGAAAAACGTACTTCTGAGATATCATTCACCATTGGTTTACCCTCGATTAGTTCAGTGTTACTGAGAGTCGGAACGATTCCTTAATAAGCAGAACAAAAACTATTTTACTCAAACAAAGGATTCAAACCAGTTGGTATTCTGTGAAGCAGTTTGTTACGTGTCTCCACATAGGTTTTACTCGTTAGATAAATGGCCTCGATATCATCAATAGCCGGCCCCATTTGTGATTTATATAGAAAACCTTAATGGCAATTTGTTAGCTGAAAATCAAAAGAAAGATCTAACCCATTTCATGCTCCATGATTTCTTTAGCTTGTGTAATTCGTTGTACATGAGATTGATCTGGATAAACAACATGGCAAGCAGTAGTTAATCGTTCGCCAGCCCAACTTATAATTCCTCCGAGCATAACCTCACAATAGAATGTCTGGGCGGTCTGTAGACATGCTGGTCTGCTTCTTAAGCATATAAACAACTAACCTTTTTATCCCAATTCCGCTTGATTTCTTCGTTCACAAAGTTTTGAAAAGCAGAATTACTGACACTGAAGCCTTGAGCTCTCAGCCGATAAAATCTGCAAAAAGTCAAATTGAAAGACGGCGAAAGAATGTTGACCAACTCATAAAGCTTAGCAGAGTTATTGTAAGCCCATGCATCCCAGCTTTCTTCGTTTCCAGCACTGATCTTCCGCTCACAAGTATCAGAATATCCTCGACCCGTCAAGTCAATTAATTTCTGAATAGATCTCAGATTACTCATCGTGACATTTGCATGCACAAAAATACAATTTTCCCTGCTTGGTTGTCATGTATTGCCATGGATTCCACGCTGTAACTCAAATGTTCTGGCGATTGCCCAAGTATGGAGCCCCAATCGAATAATTTCAAAGGCTCTGCTCGGACGACATCAATGGAACTGAAAAGTTGCATTGAATTCCAAAAAAAACACAAGAAATGATTCTTTGACAGCTATGAAAGAACAAGAGGCGCACCTGTTGGCTGTGGCGTCACCAATTTCTAAGCGGTAGACGACACTCTTTGTACTTGGCAAGGGATAGAGTCCACAAGATGAGGCTTGGAACTTGTCAAGACAAGCCGAATACAACTTAAAAAAGCTATTGTTTTGTTTAATTGCTCTGTTCACAAACTTTTTGGAGAGAGCAGCTTGTCTCAGCAGAGACACTGACGGGTCGTCCTCTCTGCACTGTCCTCCAGACAGCCTCCCCAACTGCCAAAAAGGAACAATTGAGAGAATCCATCCAACGGATTACATCTTCAATCTAGAGAAGAGCTGGATAAGTACAAAGCATTGTAGAACTGACTGTATTAGTAGGATTTAACCCTCGAACCGGTAAGCTTTTAACCCAGGACCACTGGTAGTCAATTCCTTTGGAATAAAATATCTTAAAAGGCTTGGGTTCATCAAAGAAAGCTACTTGATGAAACGAACCTTCGGCTTGAAGTCTTCTCTCATCCATGGTCGTTTTAGATGAGAATATTTTTTAGAAAACAGAACGCTGTTCAAGTCTGAAACCTGAAGAAAGATTGATGAGTGAGAGAATGCGTTTGGCAATGTACCTGTTGAGCATCTAAGCATGGATCTTCGTCAAGGACAGATCTTTCAGGCCTTCTTGGATATATTTCAATTATGTGAATGTACAAAATATAAATTATTATAAAATATTTACTCATCTTCTGAAACAAGGGAGTCTCGTAATTAACATAAAAAGATAATTAGCATTAGAGCACGCTTCAAACATGTTGCAGATAATCAGAAATTGAAGTTGCAAACGACTTATTATGAGTTAGTTTCAAATGAAAATTTTCAAATGTTTGGAGTAATTTCGAAGGGAATGAGAGAAAAATAAATAAAAAATGTCTTTTGCAATGAAAGGAATGTTTGGAAGCAATGAAAGACGCGGAAGGAGAGTACAGAACGGAGAGAATGAAGTTGAGAAACGAAAAAATGGAAAATCAAGCAATATGGGGGTATGAAATGAAGAAATGCCTAGAAGAGGTAAAGAGAGCTGTCTCAAGAAAGTGAGAGAAAGAGAGAGAGAAAGAGGTAGGATAGGATGGAAGGAGTAGTACACAGAAAGATAGAGAAATGAAGGAGGAGGAGGGTGGACATATCCTTGTTTAGCCTCAAGGCAGATGTATAGTCAGAGCGTTTATTAGGTAGTGGACGTTCTTTTAAAAGGATTTATTTGGAAATTGAACTGACAGCAAGGAGAAAAACCAAATATTTTGGGAGCCAAAAAAGTGAGGAAGTTTGTGTTTGAGAAAAGAATAGCAGATTGATATCCTAACAAGTAAACAGCTTTATGTCAAATTGCTTTTTTATTTCCAAGCTGATAGTAAGAAAGAGCTTCTGTTGTTTGTTATCCATTGCTCCTCCTTCTCCTCCTTCTTCTTCTCCTTCTTCATCTCTTCTCGTCTCTCAACAAGAAAAAATGAAAAGAACTCAAAAATTTGCATAAAACTGTATTGGAGTAGGAAGGGTTAGTGAGATGATGCGATAGTATGCATGCTGATGAGAGATTTCAAAACTGAAGAAGACACAACGAATAGAATATGAGAGAGAGAGAAAGAGCTAGAGAGAGTTCCCTTAGGGAAATTTCAGCAAGTGGCCGAGTGTGTTGCTGATCAAAATCTCAAATTTATGGAAAAAGATGAGAGAAAGTTGATAAGAAGTAGCCTTTAATGGTCTCAAAAAGAAAAATATTTTTCATTCTTTTCTCGTATTTTGTTTGAAAGAGCATGATGAAACAATAGAAATGAATGCAGGATGGTCATCGTTGAAAGCTTAATGTTTTCTTTTTATGTCTCCAACACACACTCATCTACACTCACACACACACACACCCATCCATACATGGAGAGAGATAGACAGACCACCCCATGACACTAATTAATTAAACCCAAAATTCATTTTTTCATTTTCCTCTTCCTCATCCTGAAATTTACATAAATTATCCCAAAAATGGGCTGATATCGTTCTATTTTCGAGATCCACACACATGCACACAGACACTTCACACACTCACACACACACATACATACTCACTTGACAAACGATATGTCCTTTATGGCAGCGATAGGACAAAACAAACTTTTTCCTCCTCAAAATATAAAAATTTATGTCAAAAAAAACTTACTACTGTCTCTCTTTCTCTAGTCATCCTCTTGAATTCTCTCAATAGCTTACTATCTCTCCATCATCTGCTCTTCTTTACTTCTTTTATGAATATTTGGGTCTATTGCTCATCAATGACAACAACGATCATTCCCCATCCTCATACATAACAAGTCACATCCTCGAAAATGTATACAAACGTTTATAATTCATGAAAACAATCAAAATCTTAATGAATTTTTATTATATTTTATAAGAATTATAGAAAAGATATGCCAGATGAGAAGCTGCTCACTCTCTCTCTTTCTCTCTCTCAAGGTTCTCTCTCTGATAAGCGACAAGCACAACACAATGACGAACAGCAGACGAAGACGAACAAGACACAAAAAGAAATGGAAGATGATGTGAAAGCTTAAAAAAGACGAAGAAGTTTGAAAAAGACGAAAAGACAAGTCAACGCACGACATTTCAGCCGATAATATGCCTCGTTTTGATCTTTTTTTTTGTCCGTTTCCCTCTCCCCCCCCCCTTCCAAAAAAAGACTCAAAAAAGAGATAATTCGTTTTGTGTTTCAGACTAAAAGAATTCGCACAAGTCTTCATTAGGAGCTATACGTCTTGATGTGTTGATTGTCTGCAAAAGGGATGTAGGAGGCGTTTTCATAAAAAAAACGAACTTATAGTTCGGGTGAATGCGCTTCAAAGATTTCCAAGAGAGAACGTCTTAGAGGAGGGGGGGGGGTCTGAAGGCGTGCAGGAGAGGCCAAATATGGAGTTAGTTGAACGTCTTCCGGTATTGAAGCAGTCAAGCCGAAAACAAAAAGCGGAAAAGTTTAGAAATAAATATGAAAAGACAAAAAAATAAATACAAATAAGCAACCGCTAACTCCAATCATGAAAGTTGGAAATGACTTTATTACGTGAAATTTGAAATTAAATTTTGGCGGCAAAATAAAAAAGAATAGTAAAGTAAGAGAGACATATGGTTGAATAATATCATAAATAATATGGGGGAAATAAAAAATATATTTATATGTCATTAAAGTTGAGAGACAAGTTTAAAGCTTGCGCCAGCATAATTCAAGCTGAGAGGTGGAGCATCAAGCTTAAGTTAGAAGAGTCAGAAGCATTTGAAGTTACCTGGAATAGCATTCTTTCTCAGTTTAAGCATTTCTCTCTCCATCTTTCTCTCTCTCTCTCTCTTTCCTTTTTTCTGCTGCAAATATCCTGCTGTCGTTACTTCTCTCTTTCTTTCTCTGTCGCTCTCTGTAATGAAGTGCATGAACTTGTATTGCCTAGGGGACTCTTACGCAAGTTTACTATTTCCTCATTTAGCCTGCAACACAATTGGTTGTCTTTCTCACTTGTGTCAGACCTAAATGAAACACACTTTATATGAGTTAGCAGCGGCGTTTATATGAATGAGCTGGAAGCAATACCTTGTATGAGCAACAACACGAAGCAGTTTCTCTTTACATTCAACTCTCTTGCAAGCAAGCGCGCGTGTGTGTGTGTGTTGAGAGAGGAAGATGAAGAAGAAAAAAAGAAATTACATGGTTTCGTGACGAAATCCATAAAACGTTCATGTATTATTCAATCTTTTCCTTTTAACAGACTTTTTTTCCTCATCCTCTCCCTCATTTGCTGCTTTGAAAACCTTTTTTTGTGTTTCTTTTAAACATTAAGGAGAAAAAAACTTTTTATTGACAACTGTTCGTTTGCACTTCCCATTTCTTCGTTTGCAACAGAGTTGCTCGGCAATATGGATTCAAAATTAAATATATTTGAAAGATTTTGTTGTTCGATTGTTAACTTCTTTACGAACACATTCTTTCTCCAAATTTTTTGGGATAAACGGCTGACTACGCTTGATGAACGTCTGAAATAGTAAATGGAATAAGAATGTTCCAGATTATCTCAGCATTCAGAGAAACTGGCGAGAGATCTTAGAAGACTAGCGAGAGATGCAAAAGGATAAGAGATATAGAGCTGCAAATCACCTTCAAAGAACAAAACTCGTTGTTATCAGGACATCCCTTAGTTAGATGTGTTATTACATGATAGTTATGATGGAAAGCTCCATGGAATAGTATCTGAAACATATCATAGACGCTAGACATTCAATGCTTTCACTCACACGAAGAGCAGCTCCTTCTTTAGGACCTAGATGCCATAATTCTATGGCAACAGAAGCTGTATACTTAGGTAGACCTCCTCTTATTACACGTGTTTCATCTCCCAATGTTGATAGTAGAGCAGCAATAGTTGTATCATGCTACAAAAATGAATAATTCAAAAGGACAATAACAACGACTCACAGCAGAATAAGCATGATACTTGAGTGGTCCGAGCCATTCACAGCCCTCGCCTTCATTGTTCTTCAAAAAACAGCTGTATTTTGCACTTAATTGATTTACCAGAAACTTCAACATTGGACCTGAAATGAATGTGTTCACCAATGCGCAATCTCATAGATGCTTGTCTGTGCGCGATACACACGTGAAGTACTACGCCATACTTTCATTTTCATTTTTTCTATCCCCTCTTGCACTCATCGCTCGTACGCCTCAGGCCATTTCCATTTTCACGTTGCCAACCGCGCTGAGCGGTGGTTCATAGTCATTTTTCATTTTGCTCCGCAGCTGGCCGTTTTCATTTCTCACTTATCTTTCACGCGTTAAGCGGTTGGTCATTTTCATTCTCATACTACTGAAGCACTTCGCGCGGTTGGTCATTTTTATTCCACACTTTACACAGCGTGTATCGGTCGTGCAGTCATTAAGCATCAACGAAGTAATGTTCATACCTCCTCGTAATTTAATCATCTCAGGAACGTATGGTTCAGAAATTCCATAATTGTACATGTTAGCGAATTCCGTCAAGTTACGGAGTTTGGCGATGACTTCATCAGTTGCCCATGTTGGTAATGTTAAATTGTAAATTTTCTGAAAACAAAAGTTAATGAAGATGGGTAATAGATGAACAACAACCTCAATGTGAAGAACATCGTTTATCAAATAAACGATTGGCATCTCGATGTTCATTCCCGTGTTTTCGGATAAGAATGAGAGGAACTCTTTATTTTCCTCGATCAAGCCAACATACTCGTCACTGGCTCGGATGATTTCGTCCAATTGGTTGGCACGTGGACATGGAGCAAACACATTTCCTTCCTTAAACAGTATAATGAAGAATAAGAAAGGACAGAGCTTGATGAGGCAAAATAATTTGAATAAAAAATCAAAATAAGCGGATTAAATGAAAAGTCGTACGTGATCCATATCGGTTGGAATTGTATGAACTGGGATTGGGGTCCAATGGTTTGGCCAGCTTAAAACACATTCAAATGAGGATCAAGGATTATAAATACTTTTCATCGTTCGGATAATCGGCTCCTTGTTGTCCCTGTGAGAACATGCCCGCAATGTTAGAATAAGCTGATAATAGAGTTCGGTTAACATCTGTTGATCGAATATAGATCTTCAAATATGTAAAGATGAAGAAGCTCTCTCTCTAGCACAATTCAAACCTCTTTTGGATTATAGCGTTTGCTGATGAACTGGTACTTCTCATCGATATATCGTTTCCTGAGCACTTTGCCCAAGGCATACTGCTGTTTCATCCCGAGCTAAAAACCATTTCGTAAACAAGAGGAATGAGCTTACTTCTGTTTATACAGAACGCATACTTACAGTAGTCAGCTCTCCCCATCCATTCGGCCAAGCACTTTCTTGATGTTCATCGAGAGGATACGTCATGACTGGGGCTCGATCTCCATGTCTCCAGACCTTTGAAATAACTTCCTCATTGTGTAAAAAAAACAAAAAAAATATACAGTTTGAACGAACAACAACTGCTCATTTCCTGTCATTTTTCTGTCCTTAAAAGGATATGGCGACTTCTCGGGAACAACTTGTTCATATGCAAATGCATAATTAGCATAAATTAAAAAAATGAAGAATAAATAGAACATCTGAAACAAGGTGAATGAGTAATCAGTAACAATTCTTATAAGGTAAGAGAGGGAGAGTGAGAGAGTAAGTGAAGAAGAGGGTGTCTTAAAGGACAACGAATGACCAAGGGCATCAAAGTTGAAGAAAAAAGCTGAAAATTGACAGACTGGAAGAGCTGTTGAAATGAAATTGAAAAGTTGAATGTGGTGTTTTTACAGCGAAGAAAAAAAGAAAGAAAAATATCTTTTTGAGATCATTAATATCCGTCTTAGATGATTGTTAAATATCAATTAATCAAAGAACATCCATATTATGGAGAGAGAGAGAGAGAGGGAGAGAGAGAGAGATAGCTTAGAGGGTAGAGGAGATGAGTAGATAGAGAGGTACACTAAGATCTTGCTAACAATACAAGAGTGAAAGACTATTGGAAGGTTGTGTTGCTGTAGAAGGTGATGTTCAAAGGAATGATGGAAGGGGCTTGCCCGCTTACTCACACAGCCTGTTTTCGCGGAAAAATGAACCAAAATATTACAAAAAAAATAACAAAATGAAATATTTATTTAACAATTAATCAGAGTTTCGTTGAAATCAATGAAAAGCCGATCAGATATCAAATCCTAAAATGTGATTTTCGAGTCAAAAACAGAAGAAAATTCTCATTCAATTACCGTATTCATCGGACAGAAACGATACAGAGCAGATGAGCCGGTTGTGTAAGCGTTCAGAGTTGGCGTCGGCTGAAAAATGTTTTTTATTTTGTGTATCTATGTTTACATTTTTGTATGTTTCAACGAATTACCGTAATCCCATTATCAGCTGTCTCCGATGGATTGAGAGACGTCCATGAGCATTTGGATTGGAATCTCCTCTGCTTGTGACACACCTACAACACCATGTGTATATCCATACTTATCTTCTAATTAGCATAAATTAGCATAACTTACGTTGACACTTAATTGATTCGAACGACAGAAGGGAAAACCAATTGAACTGAAAGACATGAAGGAGGTCTGACGCCCAGCAATAAGTTTACCTTGATTGCACGTGTTCAAAACAACTTTTGTTGACAAACGAACATCCCCATTTCCTTCCGTACCAGTACAACGAATTCTCTTCGGCAATGGCTTTTCTATTAACCATATACCATTGTCTGCATGATTTATATGATATAGTTAATGGGATTGGAGGATATGAGTTACTGTTGTCCAATAAACGTTCCTTCCAGAATGCTTGCTGTGATTTCCGTGAAATAGTTTGGACCGTTTGTAAGCTTCGGCGTCATCAGTTCGTTCTAAATACGTCATCGTTAGAACATTTAGCTATATCATATAGTTAACTCCAAATATATATTCATTCAAATGAATCAAACTTTTTCCATCAGCTTCCAATCCCTTCATCTCTGCACATCCGAAATGCTTCTGTACGACTGGCTGAAATATGCTAATCAGTCGGTCATCTTCAGATAATTATGCTAATTAGAACTCAATTATGTCATTTCTCGACAAATGGGTTGGTTCTATCTAAGCTTACAAGTGCTTTTTGTGCAAAATCCAAGTAGTATCGTGTTGCTGTTTGTGAAGAATCTTTCAGCCGCCATAGATACTTCTCTGGTGGTGGAGCTTTTTGGAATGCTTGAATTGGCACGAGCGTTCCGAATCCCTGAAGGCAGTTTAACTGTATGAGTAAGATGGTAGAGCTAAACCAAAGAGTGCAAGATTTCGTGACGCAACAAGTCTTTCACAGCTTTGAAGCCATTCCAATGATCACCCAAACATACGTTCAAGACTCCTAATATAGGTCTGAATACATCTGAATTCGAAACACTAGGCTTAACAAGGAAGATGCACCTGTGATTTTCCTCTACGTCACATGGACGAGCTGTTGCAAGAAGTTTTGGATTCTTCTGACATCCTTTACCGTTCACCTTTAAAGTCACTGATACTGAGGAGAAAAGAGAAAGTGTAAACCTCCAAGAAGAGAGCGTAATTGAAGCGAGCAAGAGGGATTCCATGTCCAGCATTGATTTCAATGTCCCTAGAATTCATCTGAAACGTGACAGTCTCAGGACTCCCTGAGTAACTTCACTAACCAAATCTAAAGCAGAAAGACGTGTAACTGCCTGTGGCGTGCAATGACTCAGTTCCTTATACGTAATGACATTTCGGTTCAACGGCAAAGTTAAAACTGAAATTTTGGCTTGTAGATCAGCTAAAGCTTCAATGAGGGCATTCTGAAGAAAAGAAAGTGTTTGAGAGAGAGAGTGAGAGTTGCGCTGAGAACCTTAATGATTGGATTGAAAGTGTTGATGGATGTTGGTTTGAGAAACAGGGTATCCAATTGTGCGTATGGTGAAGACGCATAACTAAGGTTAACTATGCCTACTATAATAAAGAAAAGCATTGTGAAGGTAAAAGCTGTCATGGCTTATATGGAAGACGCATAGTATCAATTCCATTTTATATTTTGTAATGTTTTTGTTTGAGTCATTTGCATATGTGTGTAGGCGGATGTTAGTATTGATTGCAAATCGAAAAAAATGAAAATAAAAGTAAAACGTGAAAGGTGAAGGTGAACTGGTTGAGAAAAGAGATATGCTGAGAATTGACATATTAAAGTAAATCAATAAGCATCTATATCATTATGTGTTTTAATTAGGTTGAATTGAAAACAGAACAGGCTTCAACTGCTGCTATCCGATCTACTAGACAAGTTGTTGTGTGTTAACATTCACACATTCTGGTATTATATCCCTTTTACTATTCATCGTTCGATCGTCCAATCACCCTTTCAGCTACTCTTCCATTCCCTCTCGTTACTTCCAGCCCTTTATCTTCAGTATCTTCAACAATGATCAATGTATCCAAATAAAAAGACAAGTCAAGTGAAAAATGATTGTTTATTACAAAAAATGCACAACCTAGTATCCTGGGGCGGTTCTTGGTGGTGGACAGTGGTCGCATCCTCCTCCGCTTCCGGATTCTCCGGCGTCTCCTGGTGATCCTGGAGCTCCTGGGTTTCCAGGGGGACCATCTGGTCCTGGAGGTCCTGGTGGTCCTGGGGGTCCTGGTTGAGAGCTGCCAGCACTTCCTGGGTTTCCTGGTGGTCCAGCTGGTCCTGGTGGTCCTGGTGGTCCTGAAAAAGTTAAATGATTAGATATGGATCAGTTGCTTTGATCACTCACCAGATGGTCCTGGGGTGCCTGGAACTTCGGTGACTTGTCCTGGGGCTCCTGGGTTTCCTGGTCCTCCTGGTTGTCCATCTCCTCCTGGTGGTCCTGGTGGTCCTGGAGGTCCTGGGGGTCCTGGTTGACTTGGTGGTGGGCTTTGTCCTGGAGCTCCTGGGTTTCCGTCAGGTCCTGGGCCTCCAGCGTTTCCTGGTGGTCCTGGTGGTCCTGGTGGGCAATCGAAGCAGAAGTCTTGGGCAGTTGGAGCAGCTCCAGCAGAAGCATCAGGTCCTGGGGATCCTGGGCTTCCAGCTTGTCCGTCAGTTCCTGGGTTTCCATCAGTTCCTGGTGGTCCTGGTGGTCCAGCTGCTCCGATTCCGCAAGAGCAGCAAGATCCGCCGCCTCCTCCGCCGCCGGAAGGAGCCTCAACACCAGCATCGTATCCTCCGGCTCCGCCGCCACCTCCGGCTCCTCCTTGGGAGTATGTTCCAGCACCGTGAGCACGAGCAGTGTGTGCAACACGACGTCCTTGGTCACTCCACTTTTGCCATGAAGCTTGTCTCTTTACACGAGAGTCAACACCCTTGATGGCTTCAAATCGGTGAAATTCATCCCAAAGTCCATCAGTTCTGTGTCGGCAAAAATCCACCTCATTCTGAAGTGAGGATTGGACATGTTGCATGTAGTTGTACAACATGGGGACAGCAACGATGGCTGTTAAGGTGGCCACCTACAATAGGAACGAAAGGTAATGAAATGAAGACGAGAATTGAATATACCGTGGAGATAGAAATCCCAAAGAAAGCTAGCCGCTTTAAGCTTTCGGCTTCTTGCAGCTTGGCTTTTTCCTCCATTATCCCTTAAAAGGAGTTGAAATAAGGTTCTAAAAGACATCAAAAACTACAACGAAAGACCAAAAAAGACAATCGTCAGCCAAATTAGAATAATTCCAATTGAAAACGCTGCGAAATAGTTGTTTTGGGGGTAACAAAAAAAAGCTGTGAGAAGATAGAACAGATAAAACACGATTGTAAGATGATTGTGTTTCCTAGCTTCACGTCCATATATAGTCCGTCCTCAGACGATCAGTCAACTGGTTTTGTTATTGTGACTCCGCCCCGTAGTTAGTAGTTGAAGCTCCAATGAAGCCGATACAGTCACCTAACAGGCCCGTTTCCATCTAAACAGTTTTGATTAGTAGGGACATGATTGGCATGATAGTATTACATTTAATGAGAAATCTATTTTTGCTAATTAGGTAAGAGAGTACCAACAGACAATGAAGATCAAAGAGAGAGAGAGATAGAGAAAGAGAAACGGATAAAGATATATATGGACAGGGCAAACCTGTAAGCTCCATCGTCCCCGCTCTTCCATGTCCCTGCAGACCGTTAATCAAAAAATTGTTTTCTTTGCCGCCCTCTCCATATTTGGAACTCTCTTTTCGTATTTTTTTAGTGACGTAATCTGCTGAAGGAGATCTCTCTTTGTTTATCGAGGAAACATGGATTTCATGCTTTATTATAACTTGTTGTTCTTCGATCAAATTCGAGATAAAATTATTTTCTGCTTGAGACCGGAAATCCACTATGACCTGTACAATCCCAACTTTCTCATCCAAGTCGTTCTCTATCAATGTGAAGAAGCTCCAGATCACCCGAGAGAGAGATAAATATAAAAGCGAGAGTTGATAATCGTCTCTTGATCATCAAAAATCAACTAGTAGTCCATCAACATGTACGATCATCGGATCATTCAGGCCATTTTGCCAAAAGAGGAGTTACAGCTGGTTGATGGATAGTTAGGTTTGCATCTTCCCCCCCCCCCCATCACAATTGCCCATAAAATTTGTTGTGATTAAGGAAGGAACGGATTTTGATGGGCAAATATTTGTTTTAATTAATTATTCCGTCACACTTCGAGAGAATCAGATTCAGTTGTGTGAACGACTCCGTTTGAAATCAAAGAGAGAGGCAAGTAGACGAGAATAACATCTTTTTATGTGTTTTCTACAGTTCGGGTATGAAGTCGAGGAGATGTGTGGTTCCCGCATGTGTAAATCGTTTGTGATAGATGGATTATAGAAGATGGTATTATCAACTAGGTTATAGCGCTTGTCAGCAACTTTATAATACATATGGTCAGAGAGAAAGTTGGGTATCTTTTTTTTGTCGCCAATTGCTGTGATCTCTCCCCTCATAAGATTATAATAGTACTTGTGGGACGAAGCAGTCACACTAGTCTGTAACATAGCTAGCTAGATAGCCAGATCTAGTATGGAGAGAGAGACAAACCGCTAATTGAGACTTATCGCCTTGACTACTGATCTGAATCTTCTGTCTGTGAGTTTCTTCGCCATCAAAGGAATTTTCTGATTATCGTCTTTATTTACATACTTAAGCCGTCATCGTTGTTCCTTTTTGGGTCTTATCATACATACACCATCTTTGCATGTAGAGACATTCCAAACCCACAGACACTGTTTTCGGCAACAGTCCTCGTGCGAACAGCTCACAGCTTCTGTAAAATTTTCATTTCGACACCTTCAGAACACTGTTCCCTAGTCTACTTTTCAAATTCTAAGCCTGCCGATGACAGAAGCAGGGCCATGGGTGGTTTATGCGAGTGCACAGCCATTGGTATACTACAATTGAACGTGTTAAGCTATCCCAGCATTGTCTAGAACCTTGCACAAACGAATTTATCTGCTATCTTGCTTTTCCAATAACTTAATTGATCGGCAAAACAAGCCACGACCACACGTTCAAAAGGAACTTTATGATCAGTTTGATACTCGCAAACAGGCTTTCCTTCTTTGGTAACCTATAAGCTGATTTGTAAGCGCTGCAGAATGATATACGCACCTTCAACCAGTACCATAAAGAACATATTTTGAGATTCCAGCGTTCCAGCAAAGCTTCCACAACATTCATTATCCCTATAAATAGTTTTCGTTCATACAAGTCCCCGATGAAGGTATGCCTTTTCTGTTCGTTATCCAAATACAACATAATCCTCTGCTTGATAACATATCCATGTTTGGTAGCGAGCTATGCCAATGATCATCTAGTTTGTAATTGTTTGTTCTTTTCACCGAAAAGTTCACCCATGGGGGATCCATCACAATCAGATCAAATGTCTCTTCTGCAATTATGGAGCTGAGAACACGGAGATGGATGTAGAGAGCTAACGTTTCTCTTCTTTCCATCGGTAGATATAGGATATATCTCCCAGAGCAAATGAGGATGATCCTGGTATACAGCACTTCTCAATACTAGAATCACCTTAATTGCCGTTACAAGTATCTGGAGGAACAAAGGAATCGTACTTCCTACATTGATAGTTATGGCCTGAGAAAGGCTATTGCTATAAAAGGATTGGGACTCCTTGATCATAACAAAGTCATCGTCACTGAAACGCAAGTTAAGGAAGTTGAGAAGAACGTTTTTTCTTTCATTACGTCAACTGATAATCTTCTAGGACTTTAGAAGACGACGCTTGGAAGAAGCAATCGATCTGTTTTGCTTTCTCTCGGGCTTTTCGATTGTTATCCTTCTCTGCGACCTCTTTGAAGTAGCCCATAGTGAGACCTTCTCTCAAGAGTTTCTCATGTTGCTCTTTCACTAATAGGCAATCCTGGAAATATCGAAAAAGCTAACTGTCAGACAGCTATCGAACGTTTTCCATTTCGTGGTTAGAGGAAACTGGTCTCTTCCTCTTCCGAATACGTCTGTTAGGATTCTTCTCAGCTTCAAATTGGCTGTCATTCTTGAAAGGCCCGTTGATATCGTACAAAATGGGATCATAGTTTATTCTGAAAAAGTTTTAAGTTGGAGAAGCTTTTCCAACTGACTTCAAGTGTTCATAAGCTTGTTGGAAGTAAGCGAGTTCATCTAGGATAGCGAAGGTTTCTGTCTTCGCAACAATCATCTTCTCATCTGAATCTTTCATGAGTCATAACCGGAAAAAAGAAAACAAAAATTGGAAAGAGTCCCGTTTACCCTTAGGCCCCTTCAAGGAGAGAGCTGATAGAAAAACAAAAAAAACTAGATTTATTATCACAACCATAATAGATTAGAAACATTGGGGGAGCTACCGAGATCGTACAGAAAGACAGAGCAAGCTCGAAGTCTAATAAATATTTGTATTATTAGGAATTATTATGATTAGTTTGGCACTGGATCAGGACCCTCAGTGACTTAGAATCTTTTATGTACAAATGCTTTGCTCATTCATGATGACGTCCTACAAAAACCTGTAAAACCCAGAAAATGACGACACCGAAACAGACAGCTGTGGCTTTCCCTAGGCTGGCACATCGTCTGCCGTGATTACTGAAAACGGAGCATTATTTCCAACGATAAGTCGTATCGATCCAACCTATGACTATGTCCTGACTCTATTTCGCTGCGATGAGATGAGTGCGAGTGATTATGGAGTTCCATACTCAGCATTTCAACACAAGCGACGTATATGAAAGTTCCGGCAGCAAGACCTTCTAGGATGAAGCGAATAATAACCGAATTTGTATTCTCAGCGTGATCAACCTAGAACACTTCACATGAAAGCAATTTACTGCATTATCACTGTTACCATTAACGCGATTAACATTCCCACAGGAATTGTCGCTGAAAGAATTATGCTGGTTAGGAAAGCTGATCGGATGGGAGTCCGTTGTTGTGCCATGGATACTCCATACGCGAAACAACACAGAACCTGTAGTTACTACAATTTGAGATTATAGTTCCTGTCATTACTAACCTCATGGAACATTATGGCAACGAGAACATTGAAGAAATCGGCTCTTTCATTCTATAATAGAAGTATGAGCAGAGGTAACAGAGACTGCACTCACTTGAACTCCAAGAGCAACTCCTTCGAATACTGAATGAATGGAAAGTCCAAGAAGAAGAAACAACGTTCGAGCTGATAGTCCATCTTCTATTCTGATAAGATGAGAATGTCCCATAGAATCATCATGCTCTGTTACAGGAGAACTCTGAAATGGGAATGAGAGTGTGTCATGAAGGAAAGACTTACCGATCGGAAAATGATGTCCTGCATCCCATCCTCATCGTCTAATGTAGTATCAACTAGTGGCTATAAGACGATGGGTATTCAATATAGACATATGACTAGTACCTGTCCATCTTCATCTTCTTGTTCAAGCAATGTCCGCAATGTAGGAGCCCGTTTTGGAGAACAATGATGATTGCTGGTGGCAGGTGAGCACGACATCAGAGCCTACATCAATCAGAGCTGATAAGAGCAGGAAGATCAAACATACTTGTTCAATTATGAGGATTAGTAGAAAGCCAAGAAGAACAACCGCCTCCGTATTTGGGAGCATTGCTGGGTTAATCGTAGAAGAATCTGTAGAGTTGCCATCGAATGAATTCCTTAAAAGATTATTCTGATATGAACGAAGCTGCTACTTACCTCATCAGCATTTCCTGATGCCTTACATGAGGAACAAGTCCGAGAAAACATGTTGATAAGAAGATACCGCAGGCTACACAATTACAAATAGAAAGAGTGGAACTACCTCTGAACAAAAAAATTTAGATCAAAAAGCGAAAAGAGACTTACTTGCTCTCTTTACTGTTCCGCCTCAAAAGGTAACAGTACGGGATTAGAGTGCACAACACTAATAAGGTGAATATCCCCAGTGCGGACAGTAACTCCAGTAACAACATGATCTGAACGTAAAATTCAAAATCAAAATGAAAAAGTTCCAGGTATAGGAGGCAGGTTAACCTCTATCAAAGAATTCTTATCTCATTTCTTATCATCAAAACGTGGTTCATAGTCAAAAAACAACAAACTAACAAATAACAATGAAGTAAAACAACAAAAATAACAATTAACGTCTTCCTCCTCGACCTCTTCCACCACCTCTTCCTCCTCCTCTTCCTCCTCTTCCACCTCGGCCTCTGCCGCCTCCTCCTCCTCGACCAAAACCACTACCTCCGAAACTTGATTTGCCAAAACTTTTACCATCATAATCTTCGAAACTGAAAATTCGTATTTTTAACATTGTGATGTTAAGTGGCAAGCAAACCTCTCTTTTGTGTTTCTCTTGGATCCCTTCTTCTTTCCACCAAAACCGAAACGTTGAGACTTGAATTCTTCTCTGGATTTATTTGAATCACGGTTGCTAGGTCTGCCAGAAAATTTGCCAGCTTGTCCTCCACCCACTTTGCCCCTTGAGCTAGGACGTTCAAAACCTTCACTATCCTAGAACGGCAAAATCATATAAAGAATAGATGAAAAAAAAATTACGTCTAATCCGAAACGTTTGACGTTATTCAGCATATCCTCTAGTTGACCCTTCATGCCCTTTTTGTGTTTCTTAACAGCCTCGGTCAATCTCTTCTTTTCGGCATTCTTATTTTCAATTGCCTTCTGAAATTAAAACAAAATGTGAGAGTGAACACATAGTTAGAGGTTAAGCGACGCGAAATGAATGCAACCGTTCTGTGTTTCTGTGAGTATGAGAAAGAGACGTATTGGTTTTCGTGGAAGCTTTTTTGGAAAAAAAATATCATTAGTGTGATTTACCTTTTGAACCTTGGAAGCGTACTTCTTCTCCTCACGCATACGACGAATAGACTCCTGTCTTTCCTTTCCTTCTTGGATCTTCAGCAGACGCTTACGAACTCTCTGCATATGTCCATCTGTTTTTGACATCTCAGCATAATAATCTTCTGGTCTCATAACTTTGATATGAGAGTTGAGGAGACGAGGAACTGCTATTTGTACAGCCTTTTCAGCTTGTTTATAGCTATAAAATAATTATAAACGAAGTGTATGAAGAACAGCTTACAATTGTAATTCTCTTTCGAAGTCATTATTGATCATATCCTTTGTGAGTGTGTTTTTCGTGGTAATATCCAACGTCTCTATCCATGGTAGTTTCTTGGCAAAGCTATTAATTTTGTCAACGATCTCATTCTGAAAGCAGGCGTATGAATGAAAATGTATGAAAGGATGCGACCAAGACCTTCTTATTAATGAATTCCAATTTCTTGGGCACAAGATAATTTAGTCTATCGGATTTTAGGAGACCGTCTTTCAAAGCTATTTGAAGCTGAAAAGATAGAATAAGTTCGTTTCACCAATGATAGTTTCACCTCTCTATCATAATCTGGGTTGTCATCTTCCTCTTCACTCTCAGAACCTGCAGACTGTGATTCTTTTTGCTCATCCTCATGATCACTAATTTCAAAAGCACTTTCGTCTTCTTCATCAGTGCTCTCGTTCATTTCAACATCTTCTACAACCTGAGAACAGAAAAGTTCAATGAAAACCGGAATTGAGATACCTCTTCTTCAACTACTTTTTTGGTATTTTCTTTGCCAGCAGCTGCTTTTTTCTTCAACAGAACCATTGTTCCTACTGAAAATGAAATATTAAATGTCTCAAAACGTAAAGATTGACGAATTGAAAAATGGGATGGATTTTATCGCTCTGAATACATAATGAAAACATTTGCAACTTAATTTGTTGCAGCTATCTCACAATTTGTTGTAAACGACGTGCACTTCGTCGTCCTTGCACTATTCTCAAGTTTTCTCAACTTTTCAATAATTTTCTATTCAGCTGAGCAATGTTCGCTATTAAACAATTCTCAAAATTAATTTTTCGTCCTGTTGGGGAAGTGCTACTAACTCCTTCTCCTATTCAATTGAGACTTTGTAGTTCAAGTGCTGTGAAAGTTGATCAAGGTAGAACTGACTGTGATGTATGAGTTATAAGATATTTTTAGATGAGCCTATCGCTTTGGAAAAGAATCCATATGAGAAAGACAAAAGAAAATGTCTTTTATGTCGCACAGGATTAGATTTGGATTACAAGAACTCTCGGCTGTTGCAGGTAAGCTCTTCATACATGTTCAGCGTACATTCATCCTATTCAGCAATTCGTTTCCACTTTCTCAGGTCGTGTTTATGACCAACATATCACAGGTAGGATTCTTTCCGATTGAAATATATATGTATATTCATATCAGGACTATGCGATGACCAACAAAAGAAACTTATCGAGACTATTGCTCTCTCAAGAAAAGCAGGCTACATGCCTGTGTTTGTGAAAGATCCCAAGTACGTGAGGGATCCAAAGTTGTTCGACCCTCTTCGACCTGTAAGACCACATTCGTTTGCTTAACTGTTAGTTTTAAAATTGTTTTTAGTTGATTAGAAATTGTTATTGTAAATAAGAACTTTACGAGAGTAAATGACTGTTATTCCTACTTTCTTCTCATTGTCACCTATGTATGTATGGTTATCTACATATCTGCTTTTTATATCAATTTGAATTTGCTAAATAAGGGGTTTGAAGTATGCTGGGAGAATCTGAGGACATTCTTCTGTCCTCCGATAGTGTGGTATCCAGACAAGATATTCAAAAGCTAGTGGAAAATGCCTTTACAGCTGAAGATAGATCTCGGGTTATCACGTAAGAAGTTACTGCTTCACTCAAACTACTTTTCACATCAGTTACATATCAACCTTAGCTAATGAGAGTTTGGAGGCTGCTCTTCCGTCCCTCTGCGTTCTAGCAGAGAATGTATCCAAAATAGATCGTTTGCTACTACTTGATATATGTTATATGGTACTATTCGGTGAGTTGTTAACTCTGAGTCTATGAAACTTGGTTTGACAGATCCACTCTCCAATCGAGGAGCTCGCAAAGCATGTATTTCATGTTTGAAAGAATTGACAGGAGTAGATAAAGCTTATAATGATTACTACATTCTACTCGAGAGTTTAGAAGAGCCTCAAGTAATCTAAGACAGATCAGTAGCTCTTCATCTGATAATACTATTCCAGTTCCATCTTATCAAGCCCATTTTGGGACGCTGGGATTCTCTACTCATAAGCGTTAGAGAAGGAAGCTTGAGTTGGCGTTTAGCATCAATTATTTTAGTAATCATTCAAAAATTCCCAGCTTATAATCCCTCTCTATTTTCAAGGTTAGAAGTTTACATCATACGAATGGATGGATCAGAGTTTGGGGTTTAGAGAGGGCTATTGAGGTAGACAGTGAAATTCTTGTCAATGATCTCAAAGTAAGGAATTGGATCATTGCATTCAAAATGCCTTTTGCTTTATAGTTTCTGTTAGGAACTGTTTTCCACCATTTGAATTATATTGACACGTTATGGAGATTATTGGAGAGGAAGAAGCTCTCCAGCTTCAACGAAACTTTGGGGAAACTGTTATCGTCTATCTATTCTTCACAAAACGAAATTGGAAAAGGTAAAACAAATGAAAAATAAACTGCAAACCTACTTTTGACAGCAACTTTCGTTCGAGAATTGGCGACGGCCCTGAATTCTTTGTCATGTCCTCAAACCTTCTACTACATCTCTTCCATTGTGGCTGAAATTGAATGGGAGGCTGTTTTGAATTACGAAGATTTACCTTTGATAAGGTAGGCTTTCTTGAATTGAGTGAAGAAGGAAGAGAGCGTAATTGGAATGCAACCGCTTCACGCGCTTTTAGAATGATGAATGAAATTGTTGCCCGTGTCAATCATTCCCTAATTAGCATATTGATTGTACGAAAATGAAAACAACAAACCTTTTTCAGATCTGTTATGAATAAATCGCATTATATCGCAATGCTTTCTCTACGAATAATAACGGAGTTTTTGCTGTTGAAATTCTTTGTGAAAGCCACCAAATGGGTTTGTTACGAGAGAGGCGGAGAAAACACTGAACTAATTCTTAGGAAGCGCAGACGAAGTTAGACTTTGGGGTTATTGCTGCTATTCTGGGCAGAGACAGTCGCACGGCTTTTCAAGAGTTGAGCGTATTATTGATAGAATCATGGAAAGCACTGGATTATGACCCAAACGTTCCGCTACAATATGTGCTGTCGAAAAACATAGAAGACGTAAACTACCATGAACAGATTCAATACATTCAATTTATTTTTCAGGATGACGATTGTTTTTCTCTTCTATGGATTGATGCAATAGCCAATGGTAAAACGTCCTATTTACTTTCTCTGATTTCTTTGGAAATCTCTGAGCGTTTGAGTATGACGATACCGGATCCCAGTGTTGACAACCTGATCAACCTTCTTGTGAACATACCGTCAAGCTCTTCTGAATATCTACCTCAGGATAATGAACTCCAGTTAGAGAAAGAAGTGGATAAGACTCTGATTGCTTCCATCAATGGTTATATTCTCATGAGACTAACTGTTGCTGAAGGAAAGGTTTCTTGGAACTTTGAAAAACTTTTCTAAACGTTGTGTAGAACTCAGACTTCCTAACTCTCAAGAAGGTTTACATTCCATTCCTCAAACGTTTCTCTCCATGGACTTTGGATATGTTTGTTAGCGCTCTCCATCTTGCTAACAATGAGGAGGTTGAAATCAACAAAACATGAGATCAAAGATAAGCTTATCAATTCTAGGCTAGTATTAGTTCTGAGAGAACAGCTATGCTCCTTGTCATATTTGACTCATTCTTGGATGAGGCCTCTTCAAACGATGAGCCGACTTATGCGCTCATCAAGAAGTATGTTGGGAAAAGTTTCTTACTTGGTCCTCGAATGAGACGCAGTCAAACGTCGGGTTTGAACCCTAAGGAGTTTAATCAAATAGTCGCTTGGACCCATTCAGCTTCTCTCAAACTATATCAAAGGTGAAACTATGGTCATTGAACTATCTAATGACACCTTCTAGATTTGAAAAACTCATCAAGCCTAATGCAACAGAGACTGTTGAAGAAGCTATAGATGTTCTGGACGCTGCTGCTTCATATGAAGTCAAGCATCAGCTACTCGATATCATCGCAAAGAACATTCATGAGGTTCTCCAAGGGACAAATTCCTTTATTCACTGACAGGATTTAGGTGAAAGATTCGGATCTGCTCATAAAAGCAATAAGATGTGCTGCTCAAATAGTGAACGAGGAGAAGAAATCACAAAATTGTTTGCCCGCTATGGCCATGGTTTTCAAAATTGCAATTAGAGAAAATGTTTTGAACGACGAGAAAGCTAAAGCTGCTGTTTTCGTAAGTGTTTAGTGCGAGCATAGGTTGACGAAGCCATTCTAGGAAATCTGTCTGCATTACATTGAGCTGGCAAGTCTCAGTACCTCTGTTGCACTTGTATTGGCCAATGCCTTAAATGAATACAAAGCCGGTCTCACCCCCGATTGGGCTCCAATCGTAAGTTGACCCTTGAGTTTCTCGTCTCATAGACATCTTCCAGTTAGTGAAGTTGGCTATGTTCGGACCCGTTCCTCGCAAGGACACTAAAACCATAAATGACTCTTATTCTCAAATATATAAACATACCAATTACAAATTCCTGCCCACAACAACTTTCGAAAGGTGACCTCTTGCACCAAGTCTTATCGTACTAATGACTTTCCAGGCTTCATGAGATCGCACAGAGAGTACGATTACAAGCTCTGCTTATATCCCTCCGTTTCGCTGAGAAGAGTGAGGCATTCGCTATAGCGATTTGCCAAGCAATCATCAAAGAATCAAACATACTTGATACAAATGCTTCCAGGCTAGTCACTCGATCAACTTGATCCGTTTACATCTCCTGATTCAGATCTTTCGGTATGTCTCTTCCACATAGACAGAAGACCAGAGCTTCAGCATTACTTATATTCTGCATAGAACATATTCAAAATAATGTAAGTAAGACAGACATTGGGCAAGCTTAAAAATCTACCTTCAGGATACTTTGCAAGATGTTCTGAACTTCTGCATCAATGGTATAACTGATCCTTGTCAACAGTTCTCTATAAAGCTATTGATTGAATGGACTCTCGCCCGTCTTTGCTTGAGATCTCCCCAAGTAGAAGAACAGTTCCTAAACTCAAACAAGAAAGTTAGTTAAGATGCTTTGATGGGCCTTGAATCTTGTTTCAGATAGCGAAAGAAAGAATCGGAAGCATTTCTTCATGGATTAATGTTCTTGTTCATACATACAGGGCCAAACAGAATGTGGTTTGATATCCTAGAGGAATCATTCATTTCCTTCCCTTTTAGAACTCCTTTGCTCAGATTATCAACTTGATCCTTCCATGGACGACAGCCCAGAACTTCGGAGTCCGATGTACAGCCATAGCTGCCTCTACGGTTGAGTAGAAGTCCTCTTTCATATGATTTGTTTTTTCTTCCAGCTGATGTACAAATCATTGAACCAGGATGAGAAAGCCAAGTGGCCAACAGTACAAGGTATCATAGAGTTTGATCTCGAACCATCAGGGTATGCTACAAACGTGTTTTTCTCCGAGTTCATCTCTGTGCTTTAAGCAATTCGAAACGCATAATCGAATCCTTGTTGGAAGACTTCTACTTCGCTCATATGAATGTTCAAAATCATTTCGATTTCCGTTCCGTGTTAGTTGACATTCCCAGTAAGACGGGCCTTCCTGCCGATGACACAATACCCGATGATTTGATACTGGTATTTAATAACATTTTTTCTTGTGAAAAGTATTTGAAGGAACTGAATGATTCATCAGTAACGTCTCAAAACGATGACAAGATCTTCCAAGATGCTCCAAGTATTGTATACAATGGTGAGTCCTTTCATTCTGGAAGACAATGTATTATGTACTATAAGGTCTGAGTAAGAACAGCAGTTGTGCCCCGGAAATGGAAATGAATGAGCTGGAAGAAGGTGCGATCTCAAACCCCCTGTTCCCCCGTTTGACTTTAATATTAAGAGTCTGAAAGTTCCGTACAATCCTCAGACAATGCATTACAACGTAAAATTGATACAACTGGCCGAGTCAAAAAGACCGACTGTTCAATGATTGTCGTTGCGAGTCTTATTGATAAACCAAATAATCTGGGAGGTTTGTGACTATGTTGTACTTCATGCTTTGATCTGCTTGATTGTTAGGATTATGTAGAACTTCTGAAATCTTCGGAGTTGATACACTAGTTATATCCGACAAGCTCCTTCTGCAGGATGCTGGGTTTAAAGCTTTGAGCATGGCGAGTGAGAACTGGCAGAATATAGATGCTGTAATGTTGAACTATGTACCACGGGAGAAACTTATTTTTTGCAGAAAAAGCCACAAGATCTGTTATCGTATTTACAAGAACTTCGCAACAACGGTTACACAGTCATAGCTGCAGAACAAACTGTAGATAGCGTCCCATTACATAAATTTGAATTTCCCAAAAAGGTACTAATCTCATGATCAAACTACAGACTATTCAAAATCGCTTTAAGTGCGCGTTGCTGATGGGAGATGAACGTAAGGGTGTCCCAACCAACCTTCTGCAATGTGTTGACCGAACAGTGGAAATTGAGCAGTTAGGACAAACTCGAAGTTTGAATGTGCACGTTACTGCATCTCTTTTTATCTCAAAATATGTAGAGCAAGTTATATTAGAGTAATACTCTATGTTATTCTGTTTTTCTGAATTACTTATGTAATCACTCCTTCCCGTGGGAGTGTTTTACGTGAGATATGACGTCATGTGAATTGACGGTACGTGGGACTCACGTAAAAGTTCCAGTTGAGTTACGAGCATATGCATCGAACGGTTGTTCCTTTTATTTCTTTTTGTTTCTTGTTCTTGTTGGATTAATAAATTTTCTTTGGAGAGATTTAAGACTTATTTACTTTAGAAAGGGGAATGTCATGAGTGATTAAACTATGAGACACATGAATTTAACTGTCGTAGTGAAATGAAAGTCAACAATTTATATTTGCTTATCATCTGCTATGCAGTACGAGGTGATAAGCAAAATGTTCGATTCTCTACTTGTGCTTAATCATGGCGTTTAAATGTTCCATAAGACATAAGGTATGTGAGATTTTTCATTTTATAGAAAATTTTAAACGAGATAGTCATAAGTACAGATTGCCTCGAAATGCATGCAAGTTTTTGAGTCGATTGTTGCCAAGTTCCTTCTCATAATCTCAATATGCTCCATAATTTACTCCAATAACTGGCGTGAGTTGCACTGTTCATGATGATGAAACATATCAAGGGCGTCTATTTCAGTTTCTGTCTACATTAACTTCTCATTCTTGATCTTAGCTATATTCTCTCTGATAACTTATGGACAATGCTACAGAAAGGCCAATCCACTTCTTGCTATACCGATGTTAATTAATCATGTATGAGATGTATTAAATTTTCCTTGTTAAGACATCTTTCTTCAGACTGTTTTCATCTTCTGGATCTTCATATGGTTGTACGCTAGTATAGCGTCTATAACTACTGGCCATTTATGGTCGCTTGAATGGCTAGGCGGACCGAAGAGTAGTAGAGAAGTTGGTAGCCGTGATGTCCGCGATCCCAATTACATCAACCCTGACGAGACACATCCGGAAACGAAAAAATGTGTTTGAAATATAAGATGATGATCATTATCAGATTTTTCCAGCTATAACATATGGTTCAATCATCATGGGAGTGTCTTTGCTGATCATGGTTCTTAAGATCATTGGCTGGCGAATTGCTAAAACAACTTTCAATGAGTTAAGACAAAAATCTCTACAAATGAGTGATGACGACGATGGTTTCAATTCTCCTCCTCCACCATTTCCTCATAATGACTCGGGTGAATACACAGATTTCGACAACAGCAGAGACTATGACCCCTACAACAACAGAAACAACCCCGATGATAGTTTAACCAACAACGACAGCGAGGTACTTAGGAATGGTTTTGAACAATTTAAAAAGTGTTTTTCATAGTATGGACAATCTAACAGAAGGCCACCTGGCAAATACGGTAAGCTCGTTCAAGAGCTAAACAGACAACAGCATATGAATCAAGGACCGAAAGAAGCGGAACGAGTGAAATTCATGGTTCCTCCTCAACAGAAAGGATTGTCGTCAACATCCAGTTTTGTTGAATCACAATTTTAATGAACTTAATAAATGTAAAACAAATAAAACGATAGTTTAGACAAAGAACTGAACGACATGCTTGTTACATTATAACATGCTCCAATGACATACCGTAGTCAGCCCCGCGTACCCTATAACAATAACAAGACTTTTGAGCCAAATGTTTTTGGCTTCTACCCAAATCTTGTTGTTCTTTGAGTTGGCAATTCTTCTTTGAGCATGCTTATATGCTAATTAGTTAGATATTAGTTCAAACATGAAAATTTTAGTGAAAATCATCGGTATTGTTTCTACACACACAGTATATGTTTCTGAAAACTTTTTTTTTCTCATCATCATCACAGTATACATGTTCTTCATAGCTCTCTCTCGTCTCTTAGTCGGAGATATTCTACACATTACAGGCCAAAATCTGAAATTGGTTGAAGATTGATAATGAATATACATATGACATCCAGTGTGTAAGCTAGACATGGATCAACACTTAGAAGTTCGTTCTCTTCCATCCACTTTTAAACTATTCCATCCTCAACGCTGTCTAACAGTGGAAACATACTACTGGTCTTCTTCAAGCTTTCCCTCATTCCAAACTTTATAGATTGATGTCGGAAGTGTAGCATCTCCTAACCGAGATGTTCCTAACGTTGTTTCTCAGCAAGTTGTGCATACTTCCATGCCACCACCTTCTGGTGAATGGTCTAATCAATATAGTCCCAATGCTTGTCCCGTAAGTTCATCAGTTTGATATTGTTGAAGTTGTATGCTCTTCTAGGATGACTATCATCCATTTGTGGAACATCTCTTGCCTTATGTCAAAGATTTCGCCTATGTTTGGTTCAACCTTCAGGTAGCTTTTTCGTCCCTTAATCCATACTCATGGGAATTCAGGCTGTGAAACGCAAATATTTCAAACGCCAAGAGAAACGTATGACGGTGACAGAAGAGAAATCACTCAAAGATGAGCTAATGGTAAACTTGAAAGTTAGAATCCAATAGTACATCGAATCTATTCAGTTGGAGCGATCTGAACAGAAACAGAAATGGGCTGGTCGTTTGTTAGGAAAGTTACGGAAAGATATCCAACCACAGTGTAGAGACGATTTTGTTAATTCTGTAAGCTTTTCCAACTTGTCATAACCTTATTTGGTCGCTCAGATTACCGGTAATAAGCCTGCAGTATGCGTTTTGTCCAATCCTGACCAAAAAGGAAAAATGCGGAGAATTGATTGCTTGAGACAAGCCGACAAAGTGTGGAGGCTCGATCTTGTGATGGTTATTCTTTTCAAGGTTTTTTATACAATCCCTCTTCTTATACTGATTCGGTCTTCAGGGAATCCCTTTGGAGAGTACTGACGGAGAAAGACTAGAAAAATGTGCAGAATGCATGTATCCAGCCCTGTGTGTCAATCCATATCATATTTCCATAGCCGTTCGAGAATTAGACCTTTTTTTGGCGAACTTCATTCACACTAGTGATCCTTCGACTGAAATATCCACTCCTACATCTATTGAGAAAAGTGAAACAAGTAGTCAAATTTCATCGGGTCGCCGGTCAAACAGTATGAAACATCTAGAAACAAGAGCTCTACTTGCCATTTCAGATAATGATGATGATGATGAGTTGACATTGTATGACGGCGGGATTTGGGGTACGGGTGTTTTTACCGCTTATGAACTCAAAGGCTTAACCAAACGTATGTTTAATTCCATTTCATTCTTCTTCATTCGTATTTATTGCAGCTTCCATAATCGACCAAGGATCTCATAGTAGTAGTATGATGTTTTCTAGAATGGCAACACGGGTCAAAGAAGAACCTCACCAATGGTTAGGGGATGACATGTCTCCAGGCGAAAACTCATTAGACGCCTCTACTGCACCTCCTTCTCCGCCTGCGTCTGCCGTTGCTGCTGTTAAAGCTTTATCCCAAGGTATAAACAGTATTCCTTTTCATTCCAGTACACTATTCCTTGTAGAACATCATGGAAACCCAAACACGAGTAGCAACAAGGGATGTACTACACATTCTACAATGTTATCAGTTACTGACATCAAGCCTGTTCTCGAGGTTTGTAAAATTTCTAAAGCTCAGTTTAATCATGTTCAGGATGGACCATCTGAGAAGAGGAGTAGGCACACTTCTCATGATTCAGCAGCAAGTAGCACGAATGAAGAAGTTCGACAGATTGTGGAACGCAGTTGGAATGACGATCACCTTTTATTGAATGAACAACAAAGAGGGTCCGCATTTGAACCAACGTATGTTCCTTCTGTATCTGAATGCAACCGCTTGCGAGCAACTTGTGAATAAAAATGAAATGATATCACGTCACGCAATCCTTATGCTAATTTTCCAGGACACGTGTAGTATCTGTGCGGAGTAATAGGGTAGTTAAAATAGTGCCGAACAATGGGTAATTATTCTCTATATATTAGTTTGTAATATTTTTCCCTCAGAAGTAATCAATCAGGCACATTGAGGCGCGTTAACGTCGGATTAACTCCGATTAATGGCGAATCTGAACAAAGGGTAGGAGTTGTAGTGTTTGATAATCGCACGCAAAACCAACGGAGTTATCAAGCTCCAGCTAGAACAATAGGTGGGTTTGATTCCCCCGATCTTGAAACTAACAGAAAGCATTTTAGCGCAGCCTATACCCACTACTGTAAACCAAATAGTTAATAAGCATGCAGTAGCTCAGAGCCACGCGCCTATAGTCTCGAGCCGAAAACGAATTCATAATATCAACTCGCCTAATAACGTGAGGATATCAGATGAATCGCTGAATGGTATATCCAGAATGAATGGCTCGGGTATGATTGAAACTTCTCCAACAAACTTGGTCACGCAATTGCGGAGGGTCGATAGTAACGGGTCTTATATGGGTAGTCCAACTAAGTTCACAAATGCAGTGGGCGACACGATAAGCTTCAGGTAGTTTTGATGCAAAGATATTGTTTCTCATTCAACTTATTTCTAGCAAAGTCTTTTCTCAAGTTGAACAGCAGCATGCTAAAGCAAAAACAGATTTTGCTGATATCATGTCGCCACTTCAACCTGTCCGGACATTTACGAATCGTCCAGAGAGTTCAGCAGTGAGTCGTTTTTATTTTTTTTCCTAAAATTGGCATTGCTTTTAGAAGTTAGTTGCGCCTAAAGCTATTAATCCAACTGTCGTGACTAAACATGCCTATGACCATCAAGCGCAAATGCTGTCAGACTGCAACTCAGCCGTTAGTTCACCAATCTCAACACCCCGTGTAACTCCTGTGCCAACAACCATGAGGCAACTAGATGATGATTCGTGCTCAGGATTGTTCAATAGTAGTAACAGTAACGATGGTATGCTCAAAGAAGGTTAGACTATGACAATACCATCATTGACTCCTAGTCTTTTAGTTTCGAACACATTCTTACAATACATAAACGACTCAAATTCTCGCTCTCCCATATCGACCAATTCGATGATACCCTTCGCAACTATTATGGGTGGTAATCCTACGAGGCCGGATAGTGTAGCAAGCAAGTAAGCTTTTCAAAGTTTATGTGAATTATTGATTCCCACATTAAGTGGTTCGAACTCCCTCACGGGCGTCTTGTCGCTTTCGGCGCCGCCAACAACAGCTTTGACCATGTCGCAAACTCCAACTGCCACATCTCCCACAGTGGATTCGACAACGATTGAAGTCATGGTGAGTAAACATGCCAGTGAGATATATCATTCAAGTCGTTCACATTGTTAGGTTCGAGATTCCGTACCAGACTCGACAACAGCAGATTCCCCACGAACATCCAGTAATGTTATGAACTCTAGTCCTTCTTCTAATTCGAATGGCTCCGGGAACTCGCATACGGGAGTGATAGATTTCAATGTGTTAAACAAGTAACTTGGCATCTCAGTCTTAAGCGCGGGCGTCGTCATGTTTAGTTTAGTCCAAGTGTTGTTAGATAATAATCCACCTCAGTTCACCAAGTGTAGTACTAGTAGTTCGGGGTAACCCAGCTCGTGTTATTTGAGGTTACGGGTGATTTCCTCAGAGAAGGGGAGACTTATTTTGATTTTTGTGTTTTCATTATCGCTGATAGCGTATTTTCAATTCGTGCTATAACAGGTTTAAGAGAATGCGAGATTGTTTCGGTAGAAGCAGTACCAAGAGATAGTTGTTAAGTAGGAATATTTTTAAAATAAGTATCGTTAAGCCTGATTTATGTACAAACTCATATCTTCTTTTTCCTTAACTATAAATCGATTTCCTTACTAATCGTCTGTTTACTTCTCTACCGTGAAAACTGCGACCACCTTGTAATGAGTTAAGTCATAGGAGGGTGTCATCATCATCTTAATCTGTGCCAACTACACAGATGTGATCATGATCACCTCCAGCTCATATTGTTCAATTACGCTGTTGTAACACTGTGTATATCATGGATTGTAATAATTTATTCATTTTTTCACTGTTTTTATGTTTTAAAAACGCCCTTGTTGTATTTGCCTGTCGCGCCGTACTTAGATTTTGTAAGTCTTATTCCTTCTCCGGCTTACAGTCCTTCCCAGTTGATTACGTGTTCTTCTTGTTTGATTCTGTATTTCTCGACTGTTCTATTAACATAGCTAATATAGTATATAAAAGGTGCTGTCACACACATCCTGTTCATCATTCGACAATCCTTTCGGATGCTCTTCTATGAGTTCCGATCTGTCTAGTACGATAGTACGTTGAGTACGTAAAAACGAATTTTATGGATCGAAAACAATTAACAACTAACATTCAAAAGTATAACAACAAGAGTCAATAACGAAGTTTAGTTAGCAGCGGCGCTGATCTTCTCGAGTAATCTCTTTCTCTTCTTCTTGATCATCTTAGCTCCACATCGAGCTGCTGCACGTTTGCCAACTTTGATCTTCGTGACTGTCCTCTTCTTTGGCTTCGCCACATTACCAACCTATAAGTAGGATGTGAGTCCATGTGCTCAAAGACAACATACGGAGTTGAAACCATCATCCTCCATGGCCTTTGCAATTTTCTCCAAGTTCTTCTTCCTGTTTTTTATTCTTCTTGCTTTTCTTAATTTGTTTTTTGTATTTCCACCTGCAGAGAACGAGTAAGAGCTAGAGGCATAGTATCAGAACAACCGTCATCTTCCTCTTCCTCATCCTTCTTCCTAAGTTTCTTCTGTATCCTCTTAGCAAGGAGAGCATCCTTATGAGCTGCCTTGGCTAGAGCTTTAGCCTCCCTATTTGCTTTGTTGATTGCCTTTCTCTTCTTATTCTCTTCATGTCGCTCCGCGGCTACCTGAAACAGGAATCATCTCTTTGAACTTGCAGATAGGTAACTCACTATTCCAACTGTGATCCTGCCATATGGAGTATTGCTGAGTTTCTTGATCTTGGCAACAAAGAAACCATCAATGTTGTGAATGTGAGGATAGTATCTTTTGGTTAACTTGAGACTGGGATGGAAGCGATGATGACCAATCCTAGAGAAAGGACATTGAGGTTAGGTGAAAGAAAAGCAACTCACTTGGTGAATCCTTCGACTCCTACTTTTAGTCCTGTATCAACAAGCTTGCAATGTCTTTTTTCAAGAGCGTAGTTCACAACTGCTTCATTCTCTTCCACCTGTATCAAGCATCATAAACTGTTGCACATCAGATGAATAAAGGAACATACCAGTACGGAGCAAGTAGAGTACACTAAAATACCTCCATTGGCTGAGTTAGCGTCTAAGGCATCAAGAGCAGCCAAGATGAGTTCACGCTGGCGGGTATGTCTTAACACTCATTACAACCGAGATGACACAATGAACTAACTTCTGCTGGATATCCTGGCTGTCTTTGGTGTTTTTGACACTCTGATCCTTCCAGATAACTCCTGTTCCGGAGCAAGGCGCATCGAGAAGGATACGATCGAATCCGTAAATGGAAATCTAAAAAACCTTTAAATCCTATGATGGCGAGACAGAAACAGTACTTTGGGAAATTGCTGAGCGTCAACATTACTGATGACGGTGTTGTTAACTCCAAGTCTATGCAGATTACCAATAATGGCTTTGCATCTCATGAACTGCAAACTCAGATGAAAGCTTTAGTCATATACATTCGAACATACGTTGACGTCGTTGGCATACAAAGTACCAGTGTTCTTCATTAACATAGCAATATGAGATGTCTTACCTCCAGGTGCAGAACACATATCCAAGATTCTGGAAATGGAGTTGAAAAATGATGCCGCATAATGAATACCAAACCTTTCTTGTGGTTGAGGATCCAGAGCCATAACTGGGAGCAGTGAACACAAACCTTGGATCATATAATGTCCAGCAAGATATTCTGGTGTAGCTCCGACTGGGACTTGAGAGTCATACACCACCAGACCCACTTTCGTCCACTCTGCAGCAGGATCTACATTCATACCACGACTGATGAGAGACTTAGCCAAATCTTTTCTAAAACAAGAGTCGTTATAGGAATCATGTCTTTGTTACCCGCCTTCTTGTTTTCAGGGTGTTGGTACGAATAGTGACTGGACGTTGTGCATCGTTGGAATCCAAAAATTCCAGCAACTAGAAAGTCGTATAAACAAATTTAAAGAACTGATTAGACAGACTTCTTTTCCCACAGAGAAGAGCTGAATGAATTTGCCCATGAGGTATTCGTTATAGCCGTAGACATTGCACAAGTCTTTGGCCAGAATTTCCAGGTAGTCACTGCGACTCTTTCCCTCCTCGCGACGCTTAGTGAAATCACCCAGAACCTGAGTTCAAATCTGTGAATAAACAGCTGAACTGAGAAAACCAAACCTGCATAACGTCTTGAATTCTGTCTCTGATCATTTGAAGGTTAGGAATTGTTCTAGCTTCCTGCTCAATCTCCTCTACTGTAGGCAAAGTGAAGTTCTCGCCATCAGCAAAGTTCTGTCGTAATTCAGCTGCACCTTCAGCTCTTTAGAAAAAATGCTATAACAGTAAGCAGAACAGAATTCTTACGCTATCCTGGCCTTCTTTCTATCCAGCTTCGCTGCCTGGTACTCGATATCTCCTATAACAAGCCATGCAAATAACAGTTTCTGTAAAGCTCAACCTACCATTGTCGTCGTCATCCGAATCATCATCGTCATCGTCATCCTTATCATCTGAGTCCAGATCACTTCCGAAATCGTCTCCAATCATCTCGACATCAGCATCGCTTACAGATTCTTCGGCTTCTTCATCAATCATTTCCCAAGAGTTGTTGCCCTCATCTTCATCATTGTCAGGACACAATTTAGCTTCCTTCAAATGGATTAGAAAAGTCACCTGAGATGAACGTTACCTTCTGAGCTGATCCTTTACTCTTCTTAGCTTTAGTTATCTTTCCAAGGAAGTTTGGATCTTCATTCTCCTCATCTTCCTACACCTCCTCAGTTAGAACATGAAGATGAAAGTGATCATACCTCAAACAACTTTCCAGCTGTTTCCTTTTTCTTGATAACTTCTTTCTCCTTAGTGGGTGGCTTAGACTCTGCCTGAATCATTAAACGATGAATCTTTCGAGAAGTAACAAATGCCTGCCTTCTCCTTCCCTGAAACTTTCGCTTTGGGCGAAGCGGATTTAGCCCCCACTTTGGTTTTCTTTTTAATAAC